TGTGTGTGTGTGTGTGTGTGTGTGTGTGTGTGTGTATGTGTGTGTGTATGTGTGTGTGTATAGAGAGAGAGACTTACTTGTATACAGACAAACGCACTTCTCTCCCAACTGTCCTTGTTGCGCAACACTCAGATACACTTCACTTCACTGCCCTGGCTGGAGGTGCAGACATGCTGCTTCTCCCACTGGACCATTAGGGACCAGGATTCTCCTCCTCTCTGGCCCAAGGTAAGCTTCAGGGATGGGGGAATAAGCTTTAGTTTAGTTTTGGTTTAAAACAAATGTTTCCCACATTACAATGCAACACAACAAGCAGCCACCCCCATACACACAACCCCACAAGCGATATTCTAACAAACATGCAGCCTCCAAAAATGTGTACACATTCTGTTCCAGCTCCCTCCCACATATCATCCAACCACCAACCTATTCACACACTGACCTTAGATGTGACTGAGGACTGTGCTTTCTGCTTGCCAGCATATTTACTTACAGGGTGTCTAAAATGGCAACTAATAAATGTGTATTTGAGTGCGTGTCATTGTCCTTGTGTGAATTTACATTTTGTGACTTTTATACTTAATACCCTCCTTACACAATATTTAGTGTTGCATTTATTTTTAAAATATTCTTTACTACCCTTCATTATTATTCATAAAATGCCAACAAATTCCGTAGCGCTGTACAATGGGTGGACTAACATACATATTCTTGTAACCAGAGTTGGACAAACTGGAACAGAGAAGGTTGAGGGCCCTGCTCAAATGGGCTTACATGCTAGAGGGAGTGGGATATAAGGTCACAAAATGTAAGGCTAGGTTAGAAAGGTGGCTAGAATAATATTCACTCAGGGCTTGCTTTTTATTTTTTTAATATGACAGTTGCCGAGTAGTATTTAGGGTGCAGGAGGGAAAGTTATTAACCATTTACTTGGTATGCGTTCCTAAAGAAGTGTTTTCAATGATTTTTTTTTTTAAATTTTATTTATATAGAAATGGAGGCTGAGTGAAAGTGTGATGGAGAAGGGGAGTTTCACAGGAACAGGGCAGCACTAGAGAAGTCTAGAAGGTGATCATCAGAGGTGCGAGTACGAACAGAATATAGACGTAGGTCTTCAGCGTAGGGGCCTATACGGGACATGTGTATCAGGGATGATCAATTGGTTGGATCAGCATTATGTAGCGATTTTGTAAGAAAGTGCCAGAATTTTAAATTGAGCCCTAAATCTACCAATGTAGGGACAGACAGTGGTGGGAGGTGCAGGCGGATAGAAGATGAGCATTGCCGCTTCATTCATTATAGACTGTAGCGGGGAAAGTTGAGAACACGACCACTGAGAAGTGGATTGTAGTAAAGGCGAGAGGATAGTGGCATGAACCAGAACCGTGGCTATATCCAGCATGTAATAGGGCCAAATGCGTGCAATGTTTTTGAGATGGAAGTGGCAATATGTAGCGACCTACTGGACATGAAGGGGGAAGGAGAAGTTTGTCAAAGAGAACACCTAGGCAGTGAGCCTGCGCCATAGAGCTGATGGTAGTGCCATTGACTTGGAGAGAGACAGACACAGATGTAACAACACTTGAGGGATGAAATCCCAGAAGTTCTGTTTTGGACAAGTTAAGTTTAAGGAAATGAGCAGCCATAAAGTTAGATATAGCAATCACAAGAGGGATGGTGAAAGATCAGGAGAGGACAGATAATTGTGTGTAATCTGCATATAAATGATTAATGGAAGCCAAAGCAGCTGATGAGTTTACCTAGGGAGGCTGTATAGATTGAGAACAGTAGGGGATCAAGGACAGAAACTTGAACACCTATAGAGAGGGATTGGAGGGAAGTGGCAGAACCAGAGAAAGAAACCCTTAAAGTGTGCTGGGAGAGGTAGGAGGAGCCCAAGGAGAGAGTGCAGTGTCTCGTAGACCGATCAGCCACAGAAAGATCGAGGAGAATTAGGATAGAATAGTGAGATCATGCGCCTACTAAATCATGGAATCCAAACTGAAGTGGGTCGAGCAGAGATTTGGTTTCAAGGAAGTTGGTCAATCTGACATACACAACTCTTTCAAGGATCTTTAGGGCAAACCGCAGTAATGAGAGCACAGTAGTTGGATGGGGAGTTGGTGTCAAAGTTGTTTTTTTTTTCCAGAATCTGAGTAATGGTTACATGTTTGAAAGGTGAAGGAAAAATGCCAAAGGAGAGGGTAAGATTGAATATTTTAGTCAGAGGCAGGGCAAGAGAAGGAAACAGATGAGCTACAAGAGTATAGGTTTAAGGGAATATGTGGTGGGGTGGGAGGACCAGAGCAGAAAGGTCTTTTGCTGTAGCAGGTGCAAATGAGCTTTTGCAGAGGAAAGAGCCAAGTCAGGCTTGTTGTCCAATATGGGATTAACTTCAATATTAATGTCTACATGTTTTATTTGGAATTTAAATCAAAAGAAAACTCTTTTTCTCGTGGCAGGGGTACTTGGGAATTTTGTTTAGGCCTGCAAGGGTACTTCTTTGTGAAAGGTTGAGAGATCCTAATCTAGAGGACTGCATGGTAATTATGTTGAGCAGAATGGATCCCTACTATGCAAACATTTCACTGTAATAAATTCCATCTCTTCTACAACTAAAAACAAACAGGGTATTAATGAACATTGTGCTAGTGTCTAAGAAAGTTGGATCAGAAGCAGAGCATTGTTCCAGAACCACCTTGTTTCAGCCCAAAGCCACACTCCTTGACCACTATGCTAGCAGAGAGGTGGGGCTATTTCTATGCCTTTTTAGGTCATGTCGTGTCCTCCAAACCCATGAACAGTGTGCTGCTGATGCTCTGTACCAATTCAATTAAAGCATAGCTGACAACTACCCCCAGGCTGATGGGATCTTTATTTTTATAATAGAAGCTCCTGTCTGATATTCAATTAAAGGGTTACTCCAACCACCTTCACCACTTTAGCTACTAGAAGTGGTCATGGTAGTAGAAATCTGTGTGTGTGCAGTGCCCAAAAAAGCCCCTCTTCCTGCATCTGAAGTGTCTGGCACGTCTGCACATGCTCACTTAATGAGGGGCCAACATCTTGCATTGAATCTGCACTAGATTCATGTCAATTCACTTAGTGAAAATATGAAGAAGAAAAAAAATCAGGTTGTAGCAGAACTTGTAACTGTATTCCCACGTTTAATCCCTTCTACTAACCCACATTTATTGCTGTCCTCATTTACATATACTAAAGGTTTGTACATGAAATTCTATCACATGCTTACTTTTTCTCCAAACAGTTCAAAATCTGTTCGGTTTATATGTCCTAAATCCATAATTTTGCATTTCCTGATATTAAATTATAACTGTCAAATAGCTCACCATTCCTATATTATTATTATTAAATAATTATTCACTGGGGCGGAGCCTGAATGCCGAGCAGACTAGACGTGCCTGGCTGGAGCTCCCACGACTGGCAACAGATTTGGGTGCAAAAACCCCAACTACTCGCATTTTCCAAATGGCAAACTGCAATAATCGTGACCGGGGCACCCTGCAACACACGGTGATACCCAGGGGCGTATTAGCCGCGAGGCAAACAAGGCATTTGCCTTGGGCGGCATTTTCCAGGGGGCGGCAAAAAAAGCCGACCCCCAAATGCCCAGGGCAAATGCCTAGTTAGCCTCGCGGCTAACTAACATGCTGGGCTGGGCGGGCGGCCGGCAAGGGAGCACTTCAGCCCGCAGCCACGGGACCACCAGGGAGATAGAGATCCCCCCCAGCATTCCCAAAGGTAAGGGGGGTGGGGGGTAAATAAAAAATAAATTTAAAAAAAAGTGTTAATGTGAGTGTGTGTGTCTGTTAGTGTGTCTGACTGTGTGTGTCTGACAGTTTGTGTCTGTTAGTGTGTGTGTGTGTGTGTCTGTGTGTCTGTGAGTGTGTATGTGTCTGTTAGCGTGTGTATGCGTATCTGTCAGTGAATGTGTGTGTGTGTATTTAGAAGGTGGGGCGGGGGGTGGACGGGGGGCGCCTGAGTTTTGTCCTGCCTAGGGCAGCACAAAACCAGGATACACCACTGGTGATACCCCACATGAGCTACCCGGAATCTGATAGCCCAGTCGGAGGCGTGCGGCCTAAGCCTGAATGAACGCAGTGAGACGGCTGCTAACCTGGTTCCTTACCCGCAGCAGAGACAGTCAACCTGCGCCTCCCCCACCTTTGGACTGGTAGGGGTTATCCTGGTCCCCGCTGATTGGCTCCACGCATCCCGTTTATACCACGCAACAGCCTCCACTGGGGAACAGGCCACGGAGCTCCCCTCAAAATGGCGGACAGGCCTCCTATTCTTGAGCTCCAGAAGCAGCATGAAGTGCCAGCTGGATGCTCAGCACTTGACCAAATGCTACCGTGACTAGATGCAATCTTCGCCCGTTTCTGGGCGCAACTGGAGGGCCGAAGCCTGGCAGAAACACAAGGCCGAGAATGCAGCGCTAAGCCCACCTGGGCCGAGGGCCACCAGGGTTATTCCCCCTACGCATCACCCACGGAGGCAGAAAATCCGACGCCGCAGGCGACGAACATTACAGCAACCCTGCCGCATCCTGCCAAGGAAGGACTTTGACTCAGCCGTGAGTACCCGAGTCCGTGGGTTACCGATGCAGGCTCTCCCGACAGCCCGGTGCTGTAGGGTTGCCACATTTCACTCCCTCCATGAACTGTCTTGCAGCGACACCCGCGTGTTCCTGAGCTTGAGAGTTGGCTGAAACAGAACAATGCCCCCTAGATCCAGGACGTGACTCACCCGGTGCGAACATGGCTCTCAGTGCACACTCACTATGCCCTAGTTTAAGTTTAACTCTTGCTCCTGTATTTCATGCTCTACTCAAATGTTTTATGCATTAATGTAATCCCTAACAGAGATGGCCTACCTGGGCTCTTGTAATATGTAGCTGCCAATCCTATATCGAGCTCGATATAAACCTCCCTGGCAACCACACTTATTTGTTCACCCTGAGTATCCGAAGCAGGCCTCCCCAATTTGCCCACCACCAAAAATGTGTGGGACCACAGCGGTTTACTTCTTTAGCTACACCAACTAACAATTAGATATGTCTGTTCATCCTTGCTCTCACTTTTGCAAATAGCCTAACGTAACACATTTGAGCAGGCATACATGTTCATAGAACCCAACATGTTTCACCATCATAAGCATACTAGTTAAGCTTGAATCTAGCCTACACCATATATAGCATGTTTACATTATTTGGGTGAAAAGCACGGGATACATATCTGTTATTGAGTCTCAAGCCATAGCTAAACCCAGCATGTTTTATTAATCTGTTATTTAAGTATAAAATTTGTGCAAGTACTTAAGAATACCCCACTGTTACAGATGTTTCGCTAAAGCATGAGGAATGCCGTTGGGGTACCTCACGCCTGAATGTAAATTCTGAAATGCACTGCAAAAAATTAAAAAAAAAAAATAATAATAATTATTCATTTAATTACCAGAGACGTCTGGTATCTTGCCAGTCATAATTTCCAAAAATGGCACATCTTTTTAACAAAGAAATTGAATGTCAGTAATTAATATATTTAAAAATGGTTGGTTTCAGAGCTGATGCCTAAGGAACACCACTAGTAGTAACTAATATTTAGGAATGCAATTGGCCACCAAACTGTGTGTGTTGGCCAATCTTTATCCATACTATAGTTTCAAGCAACATCATCTTTGAACAAGCTTTATTGAAATCTAGATGTTACATCCACTGCTTCAAATCTTTGTTCAGTAAACTCCAAATGTTAGCAAATTAAAGGGATACTATAGTGCCAAGAACACAGAACTGTATTCTCGCACTATTGTTCCCCCCTGCCTCTCCTCCCCCCCTTTAAAGGGTTATTTACTTTACTGATCCCAGCACCGCCCCCTCGATGTCCCACGACAAGCGGGTGCTAATTTGCATGCGCTGCAAATGCTGTGCGCATATTAGACCTCCCCATAGGAAAGCATTGAATCAATGCTTTCCTATGGGGAAAAAATCTGACACTGGGAGTCCTCATGCAGAGTGTGAAGACGTCCAGCATCAGATACTAGACCAAAGGTCAGTTTCAATTCAGGAAGCCCTGTAGTGGTTGTCTGGTAGACAGTCACTGTGGGCAGAGATAGACAGACAAATGGATCGGCGCTTATATACCTAACTAAACGATATATATATAAAAATACAAAAATGAAAGTAGGCGACACACCTTAAAACATAAGGCTCCCTGCCCCTTTTAGGAGGAGCTTCCCTCTTTCATGTAGTCTCTGGATGCAACCAGACCCCGGCCGCACTACATTTCCCATGTCCCATTGCATGCGGTCACGTGAAAGGCCCGAAATGATCCAAAATGGGCGCGGTCACATAACCCGCTATATATTTTTTTTTACTTTTTTCCCATTTAGCAGCTTAGTTTTGCTTCCAAATTTTATACACTAGTCCCTACAATGGTCTACTATCATTCTAGACCTTTTTTTTTTTATATTAATAAAACCACACCCACACTCCCTATATAAACGTGTGCCTGCCAGGTATTATTTTTCTACCTCACCCTTGAGAAAACCACTTTAGTGAAACGCGTTGTGGATATTGTAACTGTTTGTTTTACATTGTATTTTAATAAAGGTATTTTGGCCTCTTTCCACTGTGAGTGTGCTATTTTACTTTTTTATTATTTTCTACCTGGCATATGATTTTAAGTTCTAGTGAGGACTACTCCAAAAGATCCACAGTTGGGATTATACCACTTACACCTACACATTGAGCAGTTAGTCTGCCCAATTAAATGTGAGTACTTGTTCTTTATTCTATACTCCTGGTATACTGTGAGCATTATTGATGTCTCTTTTAAATTTTTTATGATCTTCATACTGATGATACATCTGCCTACCTACATGGTCTCACGTATCCTATAAGTGGGGATTGTACCACTGTACGCCATTCAGACTAGAGGTAGGTTAAGCTCTATCAATCATAAGTAGGACCATAGATGTTTTATTAACTTTTATGTTATTCTGGGATTTTCTGCACCATTAGTTCTCTCTTTCTGTTGAATATATGGCTGACATGAATACTCTGATCTGACCCAGACTCTTTGAGGTTTTATCTTCCAGCAAGTTTTACCATTTGGATTCACACTTGGACTTATATTTGAACTTTCTTTTGCTTTGTATTTGTTTCCCATATATAGAATGTGTATATATATATGTTATAACACATCTCTGTTTTTATAATTTCTGGCACAACCTTTACTCCCCCTGTTTGAGTCACAGTGGGTAGACTTAGTGCTGCAATATAAACATTGCAGTTTCTCTGGAACTTCAAAAGGAACACTGCACCCAGACCACTATAATGAGCTGAAGCTGTCTGGGTGCCTACAGTGTCCCTTTAAATCAGAAAGGAAAATCTGAGGGACAAATAACCAAATTGTAACTATGGCTTTGGAGTTGGAGATAATTTTTTTGCCTCGGTTTTACTTTTCAGATTTAAATTAGGAAAATTCAGTTTTAAGTCACCATATGCCTCAATTATTTTCCTCAACCAAAAGATTTATATCTCCACTTTATATGTGATGTGAGATTCATTGACCTATATTAAGATGACAGCCACTTTCTAGAGTTGCCTGGTGTACTACTTCATAAATCACATGAGTTCTTTTTAAAGATCATCTAGTGACATTTAACAACAGAAATCTAGGATGTAATTTTCCTTAAATTAGTATGTTCCCGATCTCTTTCATGTGAAAATTTGGATGGTTATTCACTAAACACTGAACTCTAGTTAATTTTAAAATTAAAAAAATGCATGGTTTAGGTAAAACTAACCAAGCTTTGCCTATAATGGAATTAGAGAGTTTTTCCAAATCTTTACTTTCTGTCTAAATTTCGCAATTTGTTTTTTAACTGGCAGTAATTTATTTAGTGAGTAAGCCTGCTTCCTTATCTATCCCCGATACCTCTGCGTCTGTTTTTTTCCCTCCCTTTTAGCTGCTTTACCTATACCTGTTATTCCTTTAATATATATTTTGAAATATAGCTTTGTGTGCTGTACTGACTATATAAATTATATAACTTCTAGTCTGTAAAAGTCTGATTATCGAATAACAATCTTGGTCATGATAAAGCATTAAATTCAGCTCTGCCATTGGCTTGTTATCTTCTGTGTTTTGCTTTTTCTGTAATAAAAAAAATAATTAAAAATGTTCCCCTTATTAACTCGATTGTTTTAACTCTATTTTGAAGATGATGGAATCCAACATCCAGTAGCTGCAATCTACTAGGAAACGGGAATTTCCAATCTGCTACTGTATTGGAAAGTCCGGGAAGATGATATGCTCGTAAAACTGTTTTGATTGAAGCAAAAGTACCAAAAATCTTTGGCAATGTCCCCTGTGGCTTGGATTTTGTACCTCCTAAGCGATTTAAGTATTGGTTTGCTGATATGTTGTCCATCTTGAGAAGAACACAACAATGGGATTTTTGTTTCGCAAAGCTGCATAGAGCGAAGAATCCTGCCATGAGTTCTAGACAGTTTATATGCATACTCGTCTCTTCAAGATATCATTTGCCTCCACGACAGGCTCCCCAGCCTACCCAACTTGAGTCGGATTCTATAATCAGATCTGGGAATAAAGTGAAAATGGCTTTCCCGTTCCCAATTTGAACATGATCTGACCACCAGAATAAAACTGTCCTTGTTTCTGTAGTCAAAGAGATCTCGTCTGAATAAAGGAGACCATTGCGTAGATGTTCTCTTTTTAATCTTTGAAGAGCCCAATAATGTAGGGGGAGCCAGAAATATCGCTTAAATTGAGGCTTATAAAAGGCTTACAATCCGTGCCAGAGATCTGGTGGAAATTAATTCCGTGTTCAGAACTGACCTGATCTCTTTCTGAATTGTTTTCAAGTCTGTGATGGAAGACTGAGAGTGGCTAAATTGGAATTCACTAGAAATCCCAAAAATTCTATCCCTAGAGAGGGAGTTACGATTTCTCATAATTTGTTACAAAGCCAATTCTTGTTAACAGATTCAATGTCCATTGAGAATGTAGTTGAAGAGTTTGCACACTCTATGACATAATATGTTGTCTAGGTAGATTATCATTCTCACTCCCCTGTTTCAAAGCAGGGATACCACTGGTTTGAGCAATTTGGTGAAACACTAAGGAGCAGAGGATAAACCAAATGGCAATGATTTAAATTGCCATTTCTTCCCTTCCCATATGAATTGTAAATAAATTCTGACATTAATGGTGAATAGGGTACCGTGAGGTACGCATCCTTCTAATCAATTTTTATTAACCAGTTGTTGAGTATCAACAAATCTTTGAGATAATAAATTCCCTCCATTTTACGGTATCTGACAAAATTGTTTAAATATTAAAAATTTAAGACCGATCTGTGACCATTATCTTTCTTTTTCATCAAGAATAAATTGCTTATAAAGCCTGCACTGGTCATGGGCACTTGGATGATGGCATTTTTTGAACATAAATGTAATATTTCTTGATGGACCAGAGTTTGGTCTTGGATAGAAAATGTTATCGGGAAAGGTACCTTTATTTGAGCGGGATATGATATAAAATATATTTTTATCCCAGAAC